TTATAATTTGAGATGCAGAAGAAGGAAAACATGGGCAGAAAAACTGAGAACCAGAATTGTCATTCCTGCAAGGTAAATAGCAAATTTTCTTGTGCTTTAGGATTAGTGGGAGTACACACTTCAAACAGCTTGAGCCTGTTCAAAAAACTTATTCTGAGTGGGCAAACCTTTTGCTTTGTGCTGGATCCAAACAGATAAAAGAGCAATAATCTCAGTATTATCATCAAATTTTGATGCCTCCCATCATAAACTCTGGGGAAACTTTTTGTGAAACACTTGGCCAGTGCTGACACACTTGGCACAGTGATGAAGTAAACCAGATCCAGGACTTAACCTCCTATGCAAAACTGAGATAACAGCACACCTCCTTACTCATGTAAAGCAAGGATAATTCTGCAGAAGATGCAAAAGATATTTAAATACTGCCCCACTCTCCAGTAAGCAGACACAAAACCACTTTTGTGACATCTAAATATTTTCAGGCATAACCCTGTTCTTGTGGACTGTCCACCACAGTAGTTACAACTACCTTTCTCTTGTGCTTTTTTTTTAAATGGGACTACAAACTGGCAGTTGCTGACAAATTGCTACTTATTTTTGCCACATGTCAATAATTATGAAAATGCTTTGATAATGATCAAGGCCAGCATTTCTTGGCTGCACACAAAGTTTGCATGAGTTTCATCAGCTACTCTTATCAGCAAAAAAAACCAGATTCTGGGATACAGCATGATGTAGGTATATGACACCACAAAGCTGGCAAATGAAATGATTTCTGAGAAAGTCTTGGAATAGACTGATTTTAATTGCAACCATATCAAAGCTGCCTATTTTTGATAGCAGGGAGTACAGCTTTGTTCTGCAAAACATCTCACTGACACTGAAATCAACTTCCTTTGTTTCTAAGATGTTCCTAAAAATGACTGACTGTGTGGAAAAGTTAAATCTTTTGAATTCCTAAGTCATATAGGGCAACTGACCTCTCAATAAGACACAGCACTCACCATATCCTTTCTGGCTACTTCAATCTCTCTCATGGCTTTTATCTTTTTTTACTCTTGGATTATTATCACTGGAATCTATGTTCTCAAAGACTGAAGACAATCTGAGAAGAATGTGTTTCAGCTGTGCATAAAAATTTTCATTATTAAACTATTAAGTTAACACATACTCCTAAAGAAAAAAAGAGAGCTATCCTACCATTATTCATGGAAAAAATGTCTGTAGTCCTCAATGCAACATTTAATACTTTATGCATATATGTTCTCATTAAAATAGTATCTACAGAAGAATTATGAGCGTTCCTTGAGGAGCATAAAGTGCGTCTCTGTGTGAAAGGGTAATTAATGGAATTAAAAACCCTCTCCCATCTTGCTCCAGAACTGCTTTACATCTAAATTTACAATTTATAACCAGCACTAACAAAATATTTCTAACAAGATCTCTTAAAACTAACTACCACAGGAGGCAACCACTTAAAACTTTATTCTCTACATTGGATTATCTGTCTCATGCCACAAATATTATAGGAATGAAATGTTCTGGCAATATCTTTCTTGTGCATATTACTTTCATAAATTAAGGACCTGCTACAAAATCCATTTCTGGTCTTGAGATGAGATGCATGCATATGTCTGCATGAAAAACATATACGAAAGCATATAAAAAACTCAACACAAAACAATTAAATTCCTTTCTGCTCTTGACTTGCAAATCCTAGCAAACTAAGTATTTTTTTATTAGGAATCTGTTAAGGAGTGGTTTTTTTAATTCACTGAGTCTTCTTCTATAATCACCCTTCACCACATCATATATTCCTTTGTAATGGCACAATGCGGAAATTAAAAAGCCCATGTCTCATGGTACTATAGATCATAAGATGATACTTAATCTGTAATTATGTTGACATGAATCTATAGGCACGTCATGTAAACTTTCCCTAATCTGTAATAGCCATAAATAAATTGCTCTTTACTCTTGAGACAGTCTTTACGTTGCTCATCAAAACTGGTGGTGCCTGATAGGCTTGCCAGGCCCCATGTACACAAAATCATTAGATTTGGAAGACCTCTCCTTTAGGCACATACTATTACAGTGGGTGAGGAACAAAGCTGAAATCTGACAATGCTTTTTTGATAGTTTGAAAAGCTTCTTGCTTACAGGATGAATATTCTGATGAGAATAGAAGTCTAGAGGAAGTTGAAACAATGACACTTCTCAGGAATGTGCTGCAGTTTCTATATTTACTGTCTTCCTCAGTTCTGGAAGTATTTTAAAACCAGCAGGTACTGAAAATGAAGTGACATTGCTTTAACTGGTGTGGAAAAATGACAGGAATGCAGATGGTAGTATATCCATTTATGCATTCTCTGAAAACTTCTTTTATTGAAGTGGAAGATCACGTGGTAGAGGACATACCTACCTTCTAGAAGAGTTTTCAGGGGGGGAAACCTGAGATGGTATCTAGGTAAGGCTACCTGTTGAGTGTTCTCACTTTGGGAACCTAAGTAGCTGTGACAAAAATCTAGGGAAGGTAGGTTTCAAGACACTTTGTTTCAGACTGATACAGATGCTGTGGAACTGCAGTGGTGATTGGTTCCACACAATCCTTCCTAACCTGGGTATGGTGCATGAGACTAGTTAGGGTACATATTACCACTTCTGCCATAAGTACTCCTCATTCATATGCCCGCAACAGTGTTCTACCTAAGATGTAATTGCATGAATGAACAAAATCAATACACTGGTTTTCCTCATAAATTATTTTGATCTGCAAAAGAGGTTAACCTGCCACCTTTCCTAGAACACATGCAAATGCTAAAAGACTTGTTTATCTGTCAAAATAACTACTGCTATCTGTCTGATGAAGTTTCTCCTTTCTCATTTAAGAAAGCAGTTTACTTTTTAAGGATTATCAGAAAACATAAAAATACAACTTGCATAAATATAATTCAACAATCCATCAAGTTAAATCAGATTTTAAAAGTGAAGCTGTTATTTTTGCATATTTCATCAAATTAACTTCCTCAATATTTCATGTTTAAATAGGGGAGAGATAGTTGTGAGGCAAAAGTGCATGGAAGAAGATTCTTTTCTCTCCAGAAGCAAAATTCCAGTAAGGTGATTTGCCTTCTATTTTCTTCTCTCTCCTTTTTCTACTCAAATCAGCTAGGAGAGCTTTTCAGATGTTAAAACTACCCCCTACATTTACTGCAAGGATGCTCTGTCTCACCGTTTACCAGCTGCTATGCAGAATACATATGGATGAAATAATATTTTTTGATATCCAATATATATTTGTATGTCTTGGCATCTTCCAGTAATGCCTTGTTTAATATAAATGACATATATTGCAGCTTGAGAAATTCAACCATTTAAGGTGTGAGAAGTGGCCTGACTTCTGATACAACCTCCAAAACCCCACTATCTGAACAAGACAGGACAGGTACTAGAAACAAGTAAAGGGAAGGATTCTTCCCCAACACTTTAAATAGCTCTGACTTTGAACAATTAAATCCTTTTCCACACTTACATCCTGGCACAACTGAGACTAATGAGAAACCCATCCTTTTATGCTTCCTAGGATCCCAAGCACTTAAACACCAGCTAAATAAGAAAAAACTGAAAATTCAGACCAGTTCTCCTAAGCAGGTGAAGATTCCTGTGACCACTAATCTTGCAGTAAGTTCCTAAAAGTAAAATGATTTCTCATCTCCAAACATACAATTTTTCTTTGTTCACTGAACTCAGTTTAGTACAATGAAGCCAGAAATATCAGCTTTCTTCATCTTCAACATTAACAAAATATCTGTGGTAATGTTTTTCTTGTATTAAAGTAAAAAGATTGTGGTTTAGGGTTTTTGTAATTTTTCAAATAGTTTCGGAGCAGTTCTCTGAGCATCATGAAAATACCACTATTTAATTTTGAAAGCCTTCTTTCTTTCTTTTATGCTAAGAGAAAAATCTTAATAGTGGATCTATCCAGTAATAAATCATGTTCTCCTTGATAAAATTCAGGATAGAGGAGTCCATGAATCTTAGATGACAAAAATAAATTTTGATCATAATGGTGTGATAACTTTGATGCAGACACAGGCAGTCACTGTGCAGTGAGTTGCTTGCAGTGGGTTTGATACTAATTGAAGAGAATAAATTCTCACCATTTGCAAACTGTGAAGTCATATCTACATCAGACATTATACAGTCACTTCCCTTCACAAGATTTTACAACTATTCTTAATTCTCTTTGCACAGCTGAAAAAGAATATGTGAAAGAGTACAGCGGGTTAAGCAGTCACAATGAGCAAGCAATATGTCAGACTGACTTACTAACAACCAAGTGAGGAATCAGCTACACAAACTGTTCTATCAGATGCAGGCCAAAATCCCCCCCCAGTACCCATCTTTCATTCCACTGAAAAACAAAACCGACACAAATTGCTGAAGCACGTTTCAGGAGTGGACTTGGCTAAAGTGAGTTTTGTTACAATGCACATTACTTTGAAAGCAAACTTCAGTATTTATTGCTATCACTACTCAAAAACAGAGTTTATAACAATTTTTTGAGCTTGTAACAATTTTTTTACTTCATGCTATCCCCTTCTTAAGACAGACAATATTGAAGAACATGGGTGTGCTTTAGATCTCAAAGCACAAAGCAGGACGCTATATATATTTTGTTATGAAACTATAACTCAGTGTTCATCATAGTCCTCCATCTGTCTTCAGGTAGCAAAGCAGAAATAGGTTGAATTACACAGGTTTCTGGCATCGAACAAATCCTGCTGAAGTCAGCTTAAGCTGAACGTAAACTGTATTTGTAAAAATAATTAAAATTCTATTCTAGATGCATAAATATGGATCTAATAATTTTACTTAAGACACTTTCCTCTCTCCCCTATGATACACTTCAAAGCAAGGAATAACGTAGCTTTTTAATGTAACATTTCTGTAATTTTCCAAAGAAAGAAATTCAGTGTTGAAAAACAGTAATACTGTACCTTGATTTCTTCTATTTCGTCTGGCACTATCTTGTATGCAGATATAGTCCCACCCAACCTGAAATCAGAAGAAAAAAAGGTTCTCAAAATCAGTAACAGAAAATACAGTATGTTAGTCTTATAGTCTTATGACTTGTTCCAAAACACAATATTCCTTCTACGAGTTTAGAGGTAAAACCCAGCAAGTCCCAAATCAAAAGCAAAAAAACCCCTTTCTTTAGCCAACAAAAAATCCGTATGTGATTAACATAAATATTAGAAACAAGGTGTCCATCACCTTAACAATTAAGTCAGCCAAGCAAAATTACCATCATCTGGATGGTATTTTTTATATTAATGGCAATCATCATATTCTATGATTTCTTGTTGATTGTCTAAGGCACATGGATGAGTTTAAGTGTTTGAAGACTGATGCTATTTCACTATGCTGCTACACAGTCTGAAATGCATCCAAATACAATTCCAGAAATTGAATTTTTTAAATTAAATGTGCATGTACAGACATGACAAATCACACAGTCTCTATAGCCTCCACATTTGAAAAATTTCTGCAGTTAATGATTGGTAGTAAAAAGTGGTTGATGAGTAATAGCTGGCATTGACACAGAAAAAATAGAGGGTTTTGTCCTACATGAAACTCACTGAAATTACTTTTTGAAATCCTACAAAAATCCTGGTAAAGAACAGTTCACATACTGAAGATGTATGAATAGCATGTACTATAAATGGTGGTTAATATTACATTTTGCCCAGAGACCTGCAGACATGGTTTCTTTTATTTCATGAAGCAGTCTCATCAATGGTGACAATTCAGACCTAAAAATATAAGTACACTAATGACCTCCTGCTGGCTCTACACAGCAATACTATCCATTTTCTGGATCCTACAAAAATGGAAGTTACGTAAGAAACTATTTTTTGTAAACCAGTAAACACCTATTAGATGTGCATTTGAATTATCTCCCTATTATTGGATTTTTTTGTTTCTAATTCTCAGCATTTCTACACAGATGTATTTTCTTATATCTTGGAATTATTATAAATATTATTTAGTCAAGTGAAAAAAAGAAGAGGAGAATAACACAGAAAATACATTAAGATTGTCCATGTAAGTCCTGCCTTTCCATACTTCTCTTGCAAATGAACTGTTTGAAGGTTTTACACAGAGGATGAAGTGTGCATAGGAAAAGTCTGAAGTCCATCGCTGCTCCAGGTAACATCAGCTGTCATTTCCAAGGTAGAGACAGGGCTACATCCAAATTCATCATGGCCAAAGAGTGAAGCAAGTGCTCTCTCCCATTTCCTCTGCAAATTCCATTGCTGCCATTCATCAAGTGAGCTTAAAGTTGGAGAGAACTGAAACTTTTTTTGCCAGTGCAAGTACAAACGTGAACTTTTATTTTTTATTACTTTTGTTCAAGTGGTGTTTCTAGAGATAGCTACAAGAAATTGGCTTTAGCATCACAACAAAGGATTGCTTCATCAAACCATGACGAGCAGTGCCTCAGGTGGCGCATTGACATTGCACCTGACCAGTCCCAGGGCTACTGGAATGAGATCCATAAGAAAGAAACTTTTATGTGCTTGAGACCCATTCCTGACTGCACTTTGGAGTACCCCAAAAATCACTGACTTTCTACCTTCTAGCAGAAGGAGAATACAGAACCTCTAGTGCCAGCACTCCAGCAACATGAAATTCCATCTGGCACATTACTTTATTGGCTACCCTTGGCACAATTACTTAGAACTTTCTTGGAATATCAGAAAAAAAATCAAAATAATTGACTCAGTAAACTTATCTGACTCACACCATTAATTAGCATCATCACACAAATAGTTCTGCAAAGTTTTGTGTTAAGAATTTAAGAAACTCTGAATCTGCCAAGTTGCAGCTCAAATGGTACCACTTTTAAAAAGTAAAATGCCAGCTACCACAATTCCACTTTTTTGAAAGAGAAAGACATATTAAAAATTATGTTACTGTTTAAATAAACAATATCTCACTGATAGCTTCAGCTTATATATCTTAGTCCAATTACAGTCCTACACTGACATCTTTATCTTAAAAATCCAGTCTACAAACATAAACAATAACAAATTTGAAGCTGAAAGAGAATCAGAGAACATTAATGTACAATTTTATCAATGTCTCAGATTTGAAATGAAGTTTTTAAGGAAGTCTATAGTTTCTTCATTTCAGAACATTAGATTTCAGTCAGTCTTATAACTTCTGAAAGAGATTCACCACAGCAGATTATAGTACCAGATTTAACTGGCAAAAGACCTAAAAAAGACATTTCCCTTTGTACATAAAGTTTGTCCATGAGTTTCACAGAAGTTTAAAGGCATCACACACACTAGGAGGATGCAGCTAACACAACCACACCACTCTTACAAATCTCCAACAGCCAGTTAAGTCTGAAGCGTAAGCAACTGGACAACATGGCACACACAGGAAAAAACAAAAACATTATGCTGATCGCTAAGAAAAACCAGAAAAATCAAGGTAAATAGAAAATCAATGCAATAATGGATATGTCCAGCTTGGGGAAAACTTTCCATTTCAAGTGTTTCTCTGAACTGCATTTAAGTGTAACCATCAATTGTGTCCTGTCTGGAAGCTTTTTAGTCATTGTGCAATTCCTTGATTTAATTACTGACATCTGAAAGGAGAGCAGACAATGATAAACAGGAGATTTCACCTATAGCATGATACAGAGACCATGATAGAGGGCTTGCAGGTGGCATATTTTTTCACTTTGTTGTGAAAAACCTCTTGCTGCAAGTTGGTTTTTTTTTGGTTTTTCTTTTAAGAATATTCTATAGCACCATTCTTAATCACAATTAAGAATTAATTCTTAGTCACACAGTTTCAAGAAGTAACTGTGATCAGAAGAGCAAAGGAGCAGCTAGCCTGAGTAAGTATACCTTAACTACAATGGGCTTTGAATGTTAAAATATAATGCAGCAAAGAACACATTAAAATGGCCAGAATTCAGATCACTAGGGATGCAAATTTTGTGCGGAGTCACTCTTCACCTTTCACATATTTTACTTTTTTAACAGATTTTATTACACTGCTCTCCATTTGAACAACTAACATCCAGCATCCTCCAACAGAAATGGCATTTTCTCTCTGATAATACTCACCCAACCAAGAGCAAAGCTAAATACACAGCCAGCTACTTCCAGTAAACAGAAAAGATGGCCCTAAACTTCACCTGATGTGCAAAGCCTTTCTCTCCCAAACAGCAGAATTTTCACACTATAGCAAGGCACACTATTTAACAGTGAAAATATTTTAGATACTAGTTACCTTTAATGTCTCACTTGTATTTGCGAGAGATAATCTCAAACACACCAGAATTTATATTCAAATTCTGATGGACAGTAATCTTATCAGCTCTGTATCATACCTTGAATGTAATACAGACAGCCCAATTCTCTAATCTCTTTGCAAAAGAGAAATTAAATTATTCCTAGATGTAGAAATTAGAGCTGACACAATAATAATGAAAAACCATATCTTACACTGGGCTAAACTGGTGAAGGTGTTTGAGGCAAGGATCAGAAAAGATAAGATAGGAATTCCATAAAAATAAGGAGGAAATAATAAATATAATTATTTTAGTGAAGATTTAAAAACTAATAGAAATGTAGTGTCTTTTTTATCTTTTCAGACTGGGCTTGTGAAAGTTCACAAAAAGGATTCGGGAGAACAACAAGGTTTCTATAGCAACCGAAGAAATTAGCAAAATACAGGAAATAAACTGAACTAAGGCCAACACAGTTGTATTGCAACAGATGGATGCTTTACTATTTCACAAATTAAAGCTGAGCATCAGAGAAGAGAGAAAACTATATCCAAGTAAAGGAAAGTTGAAAACCAAGAAGAACTGTGCTCAAATGGAGGCAAGAAACCCCAAACCACTCAAACAAAAAGTAAATTCATGACAAAACTAAAAGAGAAATAAATTTACATTGTTACATTAATAAATTTACTCTGTTACATTATTTTAACAAGCTGACCTGTTTGCTATTTGTGTAACTTTGCAAATAGCGCAAGTTGGACTTCTGGCTGATTTTCCCCTGTGCCCCTCTATATGTCCATGCTGGGACAGTCTCACTGGAGTATTACTGCAGAGTAATACGGGAGTATTATTCCATTTTGTGCAAGACACTTGTTCACTTGGACTGAATCCATAGGGGTCAGCTTTTAGAATTTGAATTCTGACCAAAGACATGAACACAATCTTTATATACAGCTCCATGTTAAGGGACTGCCAAAAGAAGCTGAGCTATTGATTCATCTGTTAACTTAATAAATGAGTCATACCGAATGCATTGAAGTAAATTTTCTAAAAATAGCTTGTAGCCAGCTTGGCTGCTGTCATCCGCTGAATTTCTCCAACACCACTTTAATTAACATTAATCTTTCTTCAGATACATCACTGTCTAAACAATATCAAGTTGTCACTAAGCCTTGAAACTCTCCTTCATCTTTTAATGAAAACAAAACTCAAAATCCTCCACTTGACTTTTTTTTCCAGATCCATATCACAAATATATTTGTTACCTGCCATCAGGATATTCTGTCTTCTGACTGATTTATAAACTAAGCAGATTATACAGGAGAGACTGTTCTTGGGAGCAGATCAAATGCTTGAGAGCCAGACTGGCTATTTCTAATTCTACGAGCATGCTCATTTTTTCCCAGGCTACTGGACGAATACATGCTATAATACTTCTCCTGCCAGAGCAAACTGACCAAGTCAGCATTCTTAGCCTACTTGTCTGGACTACCTTGACGTTGACCCCCATGAGATCAACAAATCATCTGGCCTTGGATCCTCACATCCTCACAAAGTATTCCAAGAACAGAAGAAGCAGGATTTGAAAGCATTTGAAAGATTTTTTTCTCCACTACCTCCAAGATACATTAAAAACAGGGAGAGAGCTCCTTTAATTGATAACTAGTTTCTACTGACCTTTGAGAAATTGTTAAAGCACCCTGAGGGAGGTAGTAAGAAGGCTGCTATTCTGGGCTCCCTTCCTACA